TTCATAGAACTAATTTGAGTACCTTGAGCATTAATTTAATTAGCTTCTATATTCTCATATTATTCTTACAGAATTTTTTGGGTAACTAATAAACCTTATTTTTTCAGAGCAGTTTTAGGTGTGTAGAGGATAGTATAGAGAGCTGCCATATACTCCTTGTCCCATGCTTACAAACCCTCCCCCAATGACATCCTGCAGCAGAGCGCGACATTTGTCACAACTGATGAAACCTACGCTGCCATCGTTATTATCCAAAGTCCATAGTTTATGTCAGGGTCCTCCTGACCCTGGGTAGTGCACAATCTATAGGTCTGGACAAAAGTATACTGATGTGTCTCTACCAGCCATGATTCTTTTTACTAATGAATCCAGTTCTTGGCTTCTTTCCCACTTCTAGGTCAGTTCACTTGCTGGAGCCACCGTGACAAGACATGAGGAGTACCTTAGTCCCGGGATGTGGTGCCTGGAGTCCTTACCTTTCTTTTCTCCAGTGAAGGGCACAAAGTCTTCCCTGTCCTTCTGTTCCAAAGCCTCCTTCTCCAGGTACATGAGGAGGTGCTCACGGTCAAACGGGCCGGTGGCTGCTTTCTGGGTCTGGTCTTTCTGTCGGAATCCAGCTGGTAGCAGTGCGCTCTAACGAAACAGAGATGTGAGCAGGAAGGACGGTGTTCGCCCTACTGACACTCTGGGACTTGGCCCCCACCCCTGGCCCTGCTGTCTATGGGGGAGGCAGGGAGAAGGACACCTGTGCAGAGATGCAGGTGTGCACTGAGGGCTGGGGACTCTGGCACGTGCCCGAGGCCCTACCTGCTCTAACCTCCTGTGCTGAGAGGGAGCCCCTGCCATGCACACAGGCAGAATACAGCCGGCCAGAGCCATCTCTGGGTCTTCAGAGCTGCATTCTAGAATGTGGTAGCAAAAGGCCAGGTACCCTCCATGGCCTCCTTCCTCGTAGATCACACTTGGGTTTGGCCAGATCTCTATCCAGGGTTCTCCCAAGCAGGCATACAGACACTAACAAGGAGCCAACATGGCTATACTCTCTTATTTCTAGCCTCTTTCCTGGGAAATCACCCAGCACATAAGCAAGTATTAGGGTAGATGCTGACACCTGCTTGACTGAGCTGGACGATTCCTTCCTTAATGTTCAAACATAAAAACTTTTTTTTAAGACTGTGTTTTGGGTTATTTATTTATTTTTAATCTATTTTTTAAATTTAAAAATTATGTATACATATTCTTTGGTTCAAGGGTACAGGTCTGTGATTTGTCAGTCTTATATAATACTCGGTGCTCATTACAACACATACACTCCCCAATGTCTATCAAAGATAAAAACATTTTTTTTTTTAAAGATTTTATTTATTTATTTTTCAGAGAGAGAGAGGGAGAGAGCGATCACAGGCAGACAGAATGGCAAGCAGAGGCAGAGGGAGAAGCAGGTTCCCTGACGAGCAAGGAGCCCGATATGGGACTCGATCCCAGGACGCTGGGATCATGACCTGAGCCGAAGGCAGCTGCTTAACCAACTGAGTCACCCAGGTGTCCCAAAGATAAAAACATTTTTAAAAGTAAATAAAATACCCAAAATGTCTGGCATATCAGCACATTGTATATATAATTTTTAGTGATATTTTTCTTTATAGTAAAATCACTACTTTGGATGCCTCTGATTCTAATTTTAAGAAAATACCATCAGGACTGAAGAAAGTGCTTGCGAAACAAACACTCTAACAAGCTACTTTGTTTTTCAAGAGCTCATAAAAATATTAGAATCTCCACTTAAATTCACATGATATTGTTGTTATAATTCAAACATCTCCATTGTTGTGAGATCACCAAAGATTTCTAGTTATTTATGCATTTAAAAAAAATGAAGTATAAAAAAGATCTACTTAGGGGGTTAAAGACCTGGTTTAAATAGCATCTCTGACGTTTACTAGTATGAGCTCTTCTGTAAATTACTTCTTCACATCTGTTCCCCTCATTTATGAAATGGGAGTAATATGATTTACCCCTAGGGATTCTGTGCCCAGTAGGGTATAAGACCTCAAAGAATAAATTTGGTAAGATTTGTCCTCTTTTCCTCTTTCCTTTCTTCTTCCCTAAGTCAAAGTAGTCCTTTCTCAAGCAATGGAAAATATGTTTTACCATTTACATTAAATTGGTTTTTGAGAAATTTGCCATATCATATTGTAGACGTGGCTACTGAGTTTCTTTATGAATCTGTCAGAGTAAGTGATCAAGAACCAATCAGGGAAAGAACACGGAATTTGTATTTGGAGCTAAGGGATTTCTGCACTATTGTTTAAGGACCAAGCCACACCATTTATCCCCTACTACCACTGACCACGATGTTTCCGTTGCAGCTCACGAACCTTGGGATCCAGGTCATCAAGAACATTTTCCAACTGTTTCAGTTCCTCTTCTGAGAGTTTGCCAAGAAGCTCATCTTCATCAATGTTCTTGTATTTCTCCAGCTCTTTTTGAAAAGGGAGTGCCATGGCTTCTTATAAGTCCTTCTCATGGGTCGCGGACATTTAAACAGGCCAGCCTCCTGAGACTTCAGAATACTACCAATCAGAAAGAAACACCATGATCGTACTCTGCAAACAGGACTTAGTCACAGGAGACAAAGCCTGTGCTATCTGCCAATGGAGTCTTTATTGGACAAAGGATTCCACAAAACGGTCACACCACCTCCATTTGCAGAGCGACCTGACAGCTTAGAATGGGTTTCCATGTGTACTCTTTCACTTACTTAGATCTTTACAAACACCCCAGAAAGGAAGTCTGGACAGATACTACTATCCCATCTGACAGGCAAAGATTCTGAGGCAAAGGTGGCTAAGTGCCTTGCTCGAGGCTCCAGAGCTGCCATGTGCCAGACCTCCTGGTTCCCAGCGTGCAGAGTGCCTTTCTGCCACACTACTCTGCCTCCTCCGCTTTCCATAGAAAACAGAGAAAAACAATGAGCTAATTGTAAGGCCTTTGTAAGAAGCATACTTGTGTCTTTTCAGGGAGAGAGTGATGTGAAGAATATAAAATGGGGCTCATTCAGGAAAGAGAGTTTGGAACGTCCATGTGAGAAAGCATTGTCCAGTAACTCCCTGCAATTAATCTCAGTAAGATCCTAACATCCTGACTGCATAGTCTCTCCACACTTCTCTCTTTTTGTTCTTCCCCCGTCTCCTGTTCTCTTTCTAGTCCTGTGTTTTTTTGTGTCCTTAATCACGCTGCCTAGTTCGTTAAACCTCTAGTCTGCTCTCCTTTCAACCCCTTCTTTTATCCTACCTCACTGCTAAACTTCCATTCAGAATGTAATTCTTACTCAATCCCATCTTTCTTGCAAAGGATTTTCCATCTCTCCTCTAGAAGGATAATATTGCATTTAGGAAATAGCAAGGCACTTAGCTGATTGTGTTTCTCCCTAGGCAATATTAAACTCAATCAGATCTTTCAAGACAATTAGTATTTGCTGTGCACCTACTGTTTGCCAGGCACACACCTAGAAAGCAGGAACCTAAAGATGAACAAGACGCAACCCCTTCTTCAAGAAGATCACAGCTCAGTGAGACACACAAATAGAGATAATGCCATTTGATAAGTGCTACAATAGAAGTAAAGCATAAAATAGGTCTAAAAACACACGAAGTAATCATTGGGTAAAGTGGGGGAGGGGGGTTAAGGGGAAACTGTGAAAAAGAGGTTGCCTTTGAGCCTTGAAGGAAGAGACCATAGTGGGGATGTGGGTGGGGAAGGGTTATTCCAGGAAAAAAGGAACAGCATAAACAAAGGCACAAAGATAAGAAAGGTGGATGGTGGTGTGTTGGTGAATGGTTGGTGTGCTACAGGGAGAGGAAAGAACTAAAGTCAAGAAAGGGACATTTGTGAAGGGCCTTCCTTGTAATCCCTGCCAAGGAACCTGGGCTCTGTCCTGTTGGAAATGGGAGCCACTATAGATGTTTAAAACAGAGGAATCATCTGAGAAGCCAGTTTTTTACATAAAGTAATTCAAAAGGTAAGAATAAAGAATGGGTTGGCATAGGAAGAGACCATTTGAAGGTGAGCCACTGAACAGTTATTAGAATGTTGCTTCCTTCTCTAATTCAGCTGCTCACCACATTCAAGTTTGTGGTTTTCTGTTTAGATACCTTTTCTATGTACAACGTAACTGTCTTTTCCACTAGCCAACCTTCTTTTAATCTTCCATTGCTATAGTACAGGAAAATGAACAAATAAACAGAACCCTCCCCCAAAAACCATCCCACTAAAGTCAGAGACCAATTAGATCATGGGTACTCTGTTTTGGTCCCAGTTACCACTAATTTATCATGTGACACTGGGCACAGACCTAAATCTGCCAGGCCCTTAACCATCAAATGAACTGGCTGAACCATCCTTCTTAATGGACTTGACGTTACACAGTTTCCCACATTTAACATTCTGAAATTCAGATGTGTTTTACAATTGATGATCCTACAATTACTGTGGGCCCAACAGCAGTCAAGATGTCCCTGACATTGCTTATAAATGCGTAATAGCAAAAGCACCAGCTTCAAAACTAGAAGAATGGGTGTCAGGGATTCGGAAAACAAAACAAAACAAAAAAGTCCCAGGGACTTGTAGCCCGATGCGGGGCTCGATCCCAGGACTCTGAGATCATGACCCGAGCCGAAGGCAGCGGCTTAACCCACTGAGCCACCCAGGCGCCCCTTAAAGATAGTTTCTATTGAATTAAATACTTTCATGTTATATTTCTTTTTTTTTTTTTAAGATTGTATTTATTTGAGAGAGAGAGAGAATGAGAGAGAGGGAGGGGGGTGGGTGAGAGGGAAATACAGACTCCCCACTGAGCAGGGAGCCTGATGTGGGACTTGATCCTGGGACTCCAGGATCATGACCGGAGCCAAAGGCAGTCACTTAACCAACTGAGCCACCCAGGCACTCTTAGGTTATATTTCTAAAAAAAAATTTTTTTTTTCTAAAATTTTACTCACAATTGCCACAGGGTCATTGCTACGGGTTGCAGCCAGGCTGAACTTCTTTACGTGAGTGTTGGTTTCCAGAGCTTTTGCAAATTCCTTCAGGGTTGGAATTGGAATGTTCTAAAATGAAGAAGACACAGACAGTTGATAAACCGTTCTGTAGTCCCAGCTACCCCAAGTCAAGGACCCACAGCTTTTAAATACCTGATGGGTTTAGATAGCTAAATCCTTTCTAAAAGACTCATTAGCCATCTTCCAGCCACCACGCCTTCCTGGCCAGTAGCACCACTTAGTGTCTAATAAGGGAATCTAACACAATAAGACATTCTAGCATCACCTTTCTGTTCACTTTAGCCAAGAAATTATGTACATACCCAACTTCCCTCCTTTTCTCTTTCATTCTCTATATTCTAGCCAGACTGACCTACTTGCCAATCTTTAAACATATCATGCTCTTTCTCTCCTCCACACCCTCAGGTAGGCTTTTCCCTTCACCTGGAAATTCTATTGTCCTTTTCTTTGATTAATTCCTAGCTGAAATATCACCTCCTTTGTTTATTGACTCCCCTAGGCAAGATGAAAAAATTCCTCAGCTGCAATTCCATAACACTTGGGGGTTTACCACATCACGTTGTAATTATTTATTTAGTGTTTTTCTCCTAATATAAGACTTTCAGAATAAAGACCAAATGATTCCTACTCCCTCTTCCACAGCACTCAGCACGGTCCTGACCACTGGGAGGGAGGCAACATGGGGTGCACTAGAGGGTGACATGAGTCCTGGATGCCTACAGATTATCTCTGTGGCCATGAGCAACTTAACCCCTTTAAGTGGCACTGAAGATTAAATGAGATGCAGTAGTCTCCCCTTATCCATGGGTGCCTGCAACCACAGATAGCACTAAACAATATATGTATTTTGTTTTTTTCCTATACATACATACATACCTATGATAGAGTTCAATTTATAAGTTAGGCACAGTAAGAGACTGACAACAGTAACCAATAATAGAGTAACTATAAAAATATATTATAATAAAAGTTATATGACTGTGGTCTCTCTCTCTCTCAAAATATAGCTATACTCACTCTTCTTCTTGTGATGTGAGATAATAAAATGCCCATGTGATGAGGTGAGGTGAGGTGAGGTGAGGTAAATGACATAGCACCGTGATATAAGGTTAGGCTACTCCTGATTTTCTGACAGTACGTCAGGAGGATCACCTACTTCTGCACTGTGGTTGACTGAGGGTAAATCATGAAAAGCAAAACCACAGACAACAGGGAACTACTGTAATAAATTTCAAGTATTTAGCAAAGGGTATGGCACAGAGTGAGTACTCAATGTAAGCCAATTATTATTATTAAATGGCAGATGTTGGCCCAAAAAGAAGCAACAAAATAGATACAGGCAATGTTCTCTCTCTCTCCCTCTATCTGTCCACCTATCTATCTCACACACACCCTTCTTTCCCCTCTCTTTGAGAGTGACATGACTAATTACCAAAGAGAATAAAGCAGAAGTAACAATTGTAACTTCAGGGAATAGGCCATAAAAGGCACCGTGGCTTCCTGTTTGTTCTTTTTCTCTTTGACCGCTTGCACTGAGGGAAGCACATCGTCATGACACGAGGACACTGAGACAGCTCTATGGAGAGACCCATGCATGTGGTGAGAAAAGGAGGCCTCCTGCCGACAACCGCATGAGTGTGCCATCTTGAAAGTGGATCCTTCCACCCCAGTCAGGCCTTCAGATGATTACACCCCTGATGACAGCTTTACTAACAGCCTCACTTGAGACCCCGAGCCACAACTACCCAGCTAAGTCCAGATTCCTGACACTCAAAAACTATGTGAAATAATGTTTGTTGTTTTAAGCCTCCAGGTTTTAGAGTAATTTACTACCCAGCAGTAGGTAACCAATATTATATGTTTAACACAAATACTATGATTCTTTCCGAAGAATTCCAGAAATCACTTTTTAAAAATTCCTTCTTTGCAACAGGATATCTTGCCTCATAATTGGGGACTACAAGGGATTGGAACCAGGTGTGAAAGCAGGCAATCGGTTATTGCTGTTAAATTTTCTAACTTCATGATACATCAAGTGACTGACAATAACCATAATGAAATACCTTAATGTTGTTGAGGTTGACTTCTTGCAGGCTGGGATCATTGGCTTTCATCTGCTGCAGACTCACTTCCACATTAGTAGGATTGGGCGGTTCCTCAAATATTGGCTTGACCTTCTCACCTTTGACCACATCTAACACATACATTTTAATTATATTTTATTTTTGCCCTTTTTTTAAAACAAATTTTAATTTTAAAAAGAAAATGTAGGGGCTCTCCTGCCAAAATCAGAGATGACTTCCCCCAAAACGCACTTTCCTTCCTATGCTCAGATTCCGATAATACTCTAATATCAATGATAGTACAGCTTATTCTCAACAAAGTAAGCATAGGAATGGTATGGTTCGGAGTTACAGTTTCACCTGCTGTATATGGACTACTTTCAGACTATAATAATCAAGCCACAGGATCTGAGATGCAAAAAAGAAATAGAGTCTTTTCATTTCCAAAACCATACTGTTCTTCTGGAATATTTTTTAAAAATATTTGTTTACTTATTCTTTTTAAGTAGGGTCCATGCCCAACATGGGGTTCAAACTCATGACCCCAAGATCAAGAGCCAGCCAGGTGTCCCCTCTGGCCTCTTGACTCTACCCACCCTTCTCAGATACCCATTTTGGAGCTTTAATTTTGACAAAGATATGGAAAGAGAAAGGGATAGAAAGGCAAAATGGAACAATTCTCAAAAGCAGTTAACAGAAAATGTTTGCAGCATATATTAAACATACACAGTGTTAATATCTCAATATACACAGAGCTCCTACAGATCAGTAGACAAGTCAATTAGAAATGAACAAATAATATGATCAGAAGAGTCTTTGCCACTCAACCAAAAATATAAAAAGTCATTAAACTGTGAAATAAAAAAATGAAATACCTTTTGAGTAGCAAAAAAAAAAAAAAAGTGAAAAGAGATAACATGTGCCATTGGCAGCAATGTGGAGGGAAACACATTGTCTTATGTTGTTGGTGAGAAGATAAACTGATGCAAACTTTCTGGGAGAGTCATGTGGCCTCACCTATCAAAATGGAAAATGTCGGTACTCTATGACTCAACAGTTATGTATTTAGAGTCTAATCTACAGAAAAAATAGCATGGACACATAAAGACATATATTAGGGTTGTTCACTGACCTGTTGCTTGTGACAGCAAAACATGATAAACAAAATTTCACCAATGTGAAAATGGCTAAAGAACTTACAGCATATCACATAATAAGGTGCTACCTATTCATTAAAAGAATATGGCAAACCTACATGTACCGATAAAAGAAGAGAACCACAGTTTGAAAAAAAGTTAATGTAAAAGGAAATACATATAAATATAACAAAATATGTACAAGATCTATATGAGGCAAACAATACAACTTTATTGAAAAGAATAAAAGAGAACTAAATGGAGAGATACTGGGAGATGTCAGTTGTCAAGATGTCAAGATGTCAGTTCTTCTCAACTTGAGCTATAGATTAATGCAATTGCAGTAAAAAACCCAGCAAGTTCTTTTGTATTTATCAACAAACTACTTTTAAAGTTTATATGGAGAGGCAAAAGACCCAAAACAACCAACACAATATTGAAAATGAAAAACAAAGTTAGAGTGACACTACCAGACTTTAAGACTTAATATAAAGCTACAGTAATCAAGACAGTGTGGCAGTAGTGAAAGACTAGACAAAGAGATCAATGGAACAGAAGAGAGAGCCGAGAAATAGAGCCACATAAATACAGTCAACTCATTTTTGACAAAGGAGCAAAGGCAACGCAATGGAGAAAAGATGGTCTTTACAACAAATGGTGCTAGCATAATGAGACAACCACATGCAAAAAAAAAAAAAAAAGGAATCTAGACATAGACCTTATACTGTTCATAAAAACTAACTCAAAATGTATCACCTAGATGTAAAATGCAAAACTATAGAACTCCTAGAAGACAACCCAGGAGAAAATCTAGATAACCTAGGGTTTGGCAATGACTCTTCAGATACAACACCAAAGGCTTGGTCCATGAAAAGAAAGAATTGAAAAGCTGGACTTCACTAAAATTAATACAGATCTAATAAAGGATTATTATCCAAAATACACAAAGAATCTTAAAACTTAACAATAGGACAACAATCTGGGTAAAAATTGGGCCAAAGACCTTAATAGACACCTGAAAAAAGAAGATATACAGATGGCAAGCAAGCATATGAAAAGATGCTCCACATAATATGTCATTGGAGAAGTGCAAATGGAAATCATGAGATACTACTACCCACTTAGAATAACCTCAATCTGGAACACTGATAAAACCGAATGCTAGCTAATGAGTGGGGCAACAGAAACCTTCATTCTTTGCTAGTGAGAATGCAAAATGTTACAACCACTATGGTAGATAATGGTGGCTTCTTACAAAACTAAACATGCCGTTATCATTTGATCTAGCAATCATGCCCCTTCGTGTTTACCCAAAGGAGTTGAAAGCTCATATACACACAAAAAATCCACACATCGATGCTTATAGAAGCTTTATTCATAATTGCCAAGACTTGGAAGCAACCATGATGTCCTTCAGTAAGTGAATGGATAAACACATCCTTACAACAGGGTATTATGCAGTGCTAAAAAGAAATGAGCTATCAAGCCTGAAAAGGCACGGGGGAAATTTAAATGTATATTACTAAGTGAAAGAAGTCAATCTGAAAAGGCTACAAATTGTATGATTCTGACCATATGATGGTCTGGAAATGGCAAAATTATAGAATAAGAAGGTGAGTGGTCATCAGGAGCTAGAGGGGAGAAAGATGAATAGGTGAGCAGAGGAGATTTTTAAGATGGTGAAACTACTCTGCATGATACTATAATGGGGGACACATGTCACTAGACATTTGTCCAAACCCCAAGAGTGAACCCAAATGTAAACAATGGACTTTGGGTGGTAAAGATGTGTCAAGGTAGGTTCATCAAGTGTAACATACTGATGGGGGAAGTTGATACTGGGGGAGTCTGTGCATGAATTGGGGCAAGGAGTATATGGGAAATCTTTGTGCCTTCTGCTCAATTTTGCTGTGTACCTAAAATTTCCCTAAAAAAATAGTCTTAAAAAGACTTAATGATATGTATATGCACAAAAGCCCAGAAGACAATGCATCAGACTTTTAATAGCCAACGTGTTGTCAGAATGTTACCCGTTGATATCCAAGTTTAAAAGGATAAACATTTTCATCTGCACATATTAAAAGCTAAAAAAAAAAAAAAAAGAAAAGTAACATTGCTATGGTCTGGATAAATAGCCCAGTATAAATGATGGTTTGTAAACATGCTGCTCAGACTAGAAAGTACCTGCTCAAACTCCTTCAAAGAGAATAAAATACAATTAATCTAAGAAGAGCTATGATCTTCTGTAAGTTTTTACAGCACCTAGATCATGCTGGAGCAAAATTACTGATTTTATTGGTCCATCCTAACCCTGGATAGGTAAGTTCCTTTGGGCAGAGGCCATTTTTTATCTTTGTACCTAAGCCTAGAACCTTCCTGACACACGGCAGGTATTCAGTAGATGACTAATGAATGAGTCAGTGAGAGAACCTAATAAACTGTACACTTCTCCAGTGACTGACCCTTGGCAAACTGACAGAATCCACCTGCGGAGTCTACAGGGTAGAAATCTGATTCAACAGGCAGCCCAGTCAATAGGCCTCCCTCTTACCAACAAACTCTTGGAGCTCCCAAGTTTCACAGACCATGGACTCCACATTAACTTACTTCTCACAGGTGCTTTGCCACCTTTAGCGCTGGTCACTTCTTCATCAAACTTTGGATTGTTGAGTAAATTGTGTACCCCAAGAACAGCTAGAAACAAAGATAATCAGTAAATGTATCATAAGCTTGGGAAGGCATGTTAGGATGTCCACAATGTTAACTTGCCCCTTGAATATCAACTCTTCATATTATAAAGTAAGTCTCCAGAACCCCCTTGCCTTGCACAGTGTGTGGGACACATGTAGTGTTGAATAAGCTTACATATTTTAAAAAATCCCTTTCCAATCCTTCTCCATTGCCACTAGCAATCTTCACATATCTTTCTGTGGCTATATAGGGAGACCCATCTGCAGGGCAGTGGTCTAGTTATGCCTCAAGTTACTGAAAACTTGCTTAGACCTCCTAGTTAAGTAGACTCAACCTTTCTGTTTTCTTGCCTGTAAAATGTGAGTGTGGGACTGAGTCTAAGGATATTGTAGGATCTAACATTATACAGATTATAGCAAACGGCAGAAAGATCATGAGCCTCTTTCAGGGAAAGCCACCCCAATCTCTCAGTACCAACAGCAGTTGTTCTCTCCAGTTTAGAGCACTGTGGGATGGGAAAGAAAACAGATGTCAGCAGTAAAAGGTCGGATATGCATACCAAGATTTTGCAGCTCCTGTATTATGGGGAGCTTACACCAGGAGGCAGCAAAGGATGGAAGAAGAAGCACCCGGCCAGAATGTGCTGAAAGGCAACCACTGCCTTTGATAGTGAAATTATACAAAAGAGACTGGCAGCCTGGAGAAGGATCCCAGAGCAGGTCATCTGTCAGCAGGAGGCAGAGGAATATCTCAGAGCTCCTCAGCTGTACTGTAATCTACACATTAGGAGAAGGGAGGCAGCCAGTAGCAGCCTAGTAAAGGGCAAATGTTTAGAGCCAGCAAGTCTAGGGTTAAGGGCGGCACTCGGGAGCATCAGCCAGATCCGGAATCCTGGTTCTGTCCCATAATACCTGTGTGCCTTGGGAAGTTCTAAATGCCTCTGAGCATGCTTCATCATTGGCAAGGTAGGGAAAATAATTATACTTTAAGTGTTACAAAGGGGAAATCACTTCTCATGCGTCAGACACTGTTCTGAGCACTTTACAAATTCTTGTTAAATAAATAAGAATTTGTCACTATGTATCTGGCACTGCCTAGAGAGGAGACACCCTATTTAATAAACATAGGCCACGGATCATCCAAATATATCTTGCTTTGGCCCTATACTCACTAAGCAACTTCTAATTATAATTTGGCTCCCACTGCCAACTTTTAACTTTTGTTTCATCCATTCCCTGTGAATCTGGCTAGTAGATTAGCCTCAAACCGACGGCTCCTATGTGCACTGACAAGATGGACTCTCTAGACCCTCAGAATTGTGACCATGCTGAGCTCCAGCTGCTGTAGGAAGGGCTGTCTTGGAAGTCAGCTGCTGCTCCCTTGATGACTGTCTTTCTGCTCTCTACCAGCCAGAACAACATGCACAGAGACTGGCATTCTTTCTTACCTAAACCTCACTGCTGTCAGCCCATTCACTCATGGGGTTGCTCTCAACCTTCCAGAAAGATCCACCCTAGAGAAGATGCTGTCACCCACCCCCCAGGTGGGCTTTCTCCCGAGTTTTAAGGGAGTATCTGATGAGGGAATGAGGGTAAGCAGAGAGGAACAAGACAGTTTTCTATCTGGAGTATTCCCCTGGTTTTATTGTATGAATTTCAGAATCTAGACTCTTCCAGATGACTGGAATTTTTCTCCTTCTCCTTTCTTAAGCATTTCCTGGGAATTTAAGCCCAGCCCTGCATTCTCCCTTTGGGGAATTCTAGTAGAAACCATAAGACAACCCGTGAGAGGAGCAGTAACCATGACAGGATCTCTCCACAGCAACCAAAGGGCTCAGAAGAAAGGTCACTGCAAAATGCCTTCTTAACTGTGTGATGCAGGTGCTTCAATTCCTGCAATTATTTCTTTTTTTCTTTCTTTCTTTTTTTGATTTTATTTATTTATTTGACAGAGAGAGGCACAGCAAGAGAGGGAACACAAGCAGGGGGAGTGGGAAAGGGAGAAGCAGGTTTCCCACTGAGCAGGGAGCCCGATTAGGGCTCGATCGATCCCAGGCCCTGTGCTCATGACCTGAGCCGAAGGCAGACACTTAATGACTGAGCCACCCAGGTGCCCCATCCTGCGGTGATTTCTTTTTTTTTTTTTTTTTAAAGATTTTATTTATTTATTTGACACAGAGAGAGAGATCATAAGTAGGCAGAGAGGCAGGCAGAGAGAGAGGGGGAAGAAGGCTCCCCGCTGAGCAGAGAGCCCAATGCGGGGCTTGATCCCAGGACCCTGGGATCATGACCTGAGCCGAAGGCAGAGGCCTCAACCCACTGAGCCACCCAGGTACCCCCCTGCGGTGATTTCTGAGAGAGGTTCAAATATGTGAACTTGTATTGACCACTGACATCATCACAGTAGGAATGAAGATGTAGCTGAGATAGTAGGCATGCTATTAGAATAAGGCATAGCTGGTTCTCCTGGGAGGGAGGATGGATTATTATTACAAATGTCTTTCTGTGGAATAAAGATGTGAGGATTCTTGCTAAGGCTCATGGACTGTTTTTTATTTATTTTTTTTTTTAAAGGTTTTTTTCTTGGGGCACCTGGGTGGCTCAGTGGGTTAAAGCCTCTGCCTTTGGCTCAGGTCATGATCCCAGGGTCCTCACAGCTCAGCGGGAAGCCTGCTTCCCCAATCCCCCTGCCCCGCCTGCCTCTCTGCCTACTTGTAATCTCTGTCTGTCAAATAAATAAATAAAATCTTGAAAGGGGGGGGGTTCCTTTCTTTCTTTCTTTTTTTTTTTTTCCAGAGAAAGAGAGCACAAGTGGGAGGGGTAGAGGGAGATGGAAAGAGAATCTCAAGCAGACTCCACATGGAGGATAGAGCCCAACTCAAGGCTTGATCCCACAACCCTGAGATCAGGACCTGAGCTGGAATCCAGAGTCGGGCACTTGACCAACTGTGCCACCCAGGCACCCAACTATGGGCTATTTTTAAAGCACCTTAACCTCTAGTGACCTAATGACCCTAATAATCTAAATTTACATCCCACTTGGAAAAAAAAAACATCCCATGAATGCATAAATATGCTGGTAGATGCATGGGATCTTTCTCCAACGATATAGTAGAAAATGGGAGAGGACTTAATTAGGGTGAGAAACTTACTTTCATTACATATTCTTTTGTTGTTGTTGCTATGTTCCAGTAAAAGTTTATTTACAAGCCCAGGAGGCACGTCGCGGTTTGCAGACCCCTAATCTAGTGCCATCTTGTCTACCCATTCTTTGTCTACCACGTCTAGCGCCATCTTGTCTATCCATTCTTTTATACCATGTGTGTTTTGTCTCTCTGCATGTGTAACCAATTCAAATAATAACACCAATTATTATTTTGTTGCTACTGTTTAGAAAGCTAGACAAAGATGAGCAGATCGGGCTGAATGTGGCTTTCATTACTGTGTGGGTGTAATGGTAAATAACTCCTGCTCTGTGGTTAGGCTAACAGCCCTCTTTGTGGCAATCAAAATGGAACAGCGACCATGGGGAACAGCAGGAACTTCACGGATGCTCCGTGATGGTAAAATGTGATAAAATGCCAAATGTGAAAGCTTCTTAGAGGAACGGCTATTATTTCATTGTTTAAGTTTGCAACACTCTTTTAGATTCCTTTTTTTTGGTTTCTCTAACTCTTGAATTTCGTAGGAAGGGTATTATTAGGGCATTTTATAGCTGAAATAGGATTTTACATTTTACAGCTGAGATACAGCAAAGTAAGATTTGCTTAGAGAGGTGAAGTCACTTCCGTCAAGTCTGATGGCTACATACAAGCTGAAGTCACCTGGTATTGCAATATTGATGAGTAGTTATCCAAAAGCTCAGAGGCTGCTGCCAGTGTGTGCCTGAAGGTCCAGAGCCAGACAGAAAAGTGTCCCAGAGCTGAGGACTAACCTGCAAGATCATAGAGTTCGGTGTCGGAGGCACTGGCCAAAGCTTCTTCCAGTTCTGGGTCAAGGGTCACTTTTTCTTCTTTACGAGTTTCTATGGGCTTTTCTTTGGGGATGAAGACTCTCCCTTTAAATCAGAAGGAAAACAAAAACCACACTGTGCTGCTGACCAAGGCAGGGTAAAAGGACTGACCAGACAATGCAGTTCTGAGAGCCACTGAGAGCCAAACCTTAAGCCCATTGCGCACGCAACTGGGATTCCTTCATTGCTGGGATAATGTCAGTATCATTAATCCACCATTAGAGGGAGGGAACGTCAGAGGAGGAATCCTGCATTCTGCAACACAGAGATGTGAGGAGACTATGGTCCTTAAACGTAGAAGGAAATGGTGGTTTCTACCTCTCTACTATGGATTGCCAGCATTGCCCTTAGACCTGGGCAAGAGAGGCCCTGCCATGGGCCCCGTGCTTTATAGGGCCCACTGTGGTCCTCTTCTCCTGCAATCTCCCTGGTCCCTGGCCCCTGGTCATGGGGCCAAAGGGACATTCCCACCGAGAATCCCATCTGCTAGGCTCCACTCCAGGCATCTGGGACCTTGGAATTCCCTGCTCAAAGACCCCTGAACTTGCTTCCAGGGCCTGTATGCATCCCTTCCCCATGTCCATCCACCCAAAGGCATGTCACATTGCTGGAGTGGGCACCCCTAGGCCAAGGGGAGGTTATTTGTGGGTGAGATGAATGCAGCTTCAATCTGTAGGCTGTGTGCCAAATATGTGTGAGGCTCTAGCAGTATAGGACAGATCCATATGCTTGCATGGAACTTTTGGAAGCCCAAGAATCCTGGGCTTCTAGGTGTATGTGTAACAGGATAGAACATATTTTAACAGTTTATTAGTTTTTAAACATTTATTAAAAATGGCACATGGGCTTCTATTTGTATTCTTCCCTTGGATCCTGCAAATACTGGAGGCAGAGTTAGCCACACAGCCCCAGGGGTTCCTGAGGGACAAACCAGAGCTCTCTTGAGTTTTTCTTGCTAGACTGAGATTGTAGACCACTAGGATGCTCTATCTGGGGTCACTTGGAGTAGCGTAGTGACCCGGGGATACAGCTACTCTCCAGACATACCAAAGGAAGTCAAATATAAAAGGAGAACTCAGGATTGACGTGTTTAGAAGTTGTAGAGGTCTGTGAACAGCAAGGTACAATGTGCTTCCCACATGGGGATACTTTGCCTTCACCTCCCACTTCGTCCTCGCAGTCAGATTCCATTTGTCTTGCCCCTGCCTCACTTCTGAATATGCTGACATCTATGCCCTACCTCCTCAGCCCCAACCTCTGAAGATCACATCGCTGGGAGGATGGCATATTACCTGCTCCTAACTTTCAGCCAGTGCAACGTACCCACATCCCACACGCGCAATGACTCATAAGGGTAAACCTAGGACATCCCAGAGTTGCCATAGCAATACTCCAAACCTGCTTACACTCTTTCCCAATTCCTGCCAGCTTTTCACTCTTCATTTCTTTTCTGGAGCTGCTCTTCTTGGCATGATCTTTGAAATTGGTCTCCTCCAATTTGATCTTTGGAGTTCCCTATAGACTCACCCTTCCACTGCCTTCTCTTTGTCATCTTGGGTAGAACACAGAGCTGGCTCCCGGTTCAGCCAATGGAGACCAACACTCTTTCCAGATCTCTCTGGCTGGCCAGCCCTCCCCACTCCCACTGGAAAGGTAAAAGTCAAACCCAAAGTCAGTAACTCTCCTTCATAAATCCTCTCCAACAGCTGTCCCTGGTTGCAGGGGCTGCTGACTTCTTGATAGCTGACCAGATCTTCAAATGGCTAGACATGAAATCAGGGACCAGGCAGCACTGGGCACCCTAGGGAAATACCACTGCTTGTGGTCAGACTGGGGTATCCTGGCCACAATGTCTCCTCCACTGACCATCACCCTGCTTCCTGCCTCCCCATCATGTAAATTGCCACCTTTCCCAGAAAGAAAGAAAATACACTGGAGCTTAATGAAAAATATAAGGAGAATGGCCAGAAGATAGAAAATGGAAAAGAAAACAACCAATCAATAACATTTCAGACACTGGGGTTTATCCCAGACTTCTTTTTCAGAATATCTGCAACCTGAAGCATTTTCTTTGTGGCTCCAGTGACTTTGGTTCCAGAGTTACTGAGATGTCTACATTCCACCTTCCCATGAGTGTTCAGGATTACCCTCAACACCATGTGCAGAGGGGACCCACAGCTTTTGAACTTTAGGACAGCTGCTGCTGCACATCATTCCTGGGGGGCGGGGGGGCGGGCAACCAAACAAGTTCTAAGTGCATAAAGCTACTGCAGAGAGTAAAACGTGGCCCAGGCACCCGAGGGCTTAGTGCATACGGTGTTCAGAGCTGAGGTTGCATACCCCTCCCATGAGACCTTTACTGTAGCTTCCACTGCCTCCAGATCACCCATTGGTCCTTCTGGTGGTGGTGGGGGGGTGGGTCTGCACGTTCCACTCTATTCCTTCTGCTCTGTTTGGAAAACTTGCTTTCTGAGTATTTTGCCCAAACAGTGTTGATTTCCAACCTTCTCCTAAGCTACTCCGGGCAACTGTATACCCCTTTTGTCTCCCCATTTACTACTCAGACTGCCCCTTTTTTTCCCTGTGAATCACCTGCAGATTAATCTGGATCAAGAGATAATTTACTGTGACTGTTTCTCAGACCTTGACTCTAAGAAGAAGAGACAAAGCTTTCCCCTTATTATTGTCACTACCCTAATACTGGATGTTTGTTGGGATTTTATTGAAGATTTGACATTGTAACTTTTCTTTCACAATGAACTCAGTCCAGTAGCAGCTACACTGCCATAGAGACAGCTCCGTATTTCTATGGTAATCCTTAGTTATCTGCTCAATATTTCACTGTCCAACATCACTTTCTTAATAAATTGACACGATCAGTGGTGCACGATCCATCAAATGAGCACGATTCAGAGGAGAGCCAGATGTTGCGTAACAGAAGGCAGCAGCGCTCAGACTCACGCCAGCTGAGGAAGCATGTTCCTGCTGCCCAAGGCCGCTTCATACGCTCCCAGGTAGCGGCCATTCGAACCTGTATTTCTCAAGAGCCTCCCCTGGGCCAGCGTCTATGCTGGGGGGCAAGAGAGACACAATCCCACAGTGGAGACCTCATCTAAGGTGGGAAACGCACAAAACCCAAAGTAAATAAACCAAACAATGAACGTAGCGCCATGAAAGCAATCCACGAGTGTCATGGCAGAGAGAAGGGATCTATTTTAGACAGAAGGGTCAGGAAAAGAAAGCCCGAAGCCCTGTGTTTAAGCTCAGACTTACAGAATGTGAAAACTGGGGACGTGGGTTGGAGGCAAGAGATCATGAGGAGACCCCGGGGTGGGAAAAGAGCTGGGCAGTTTTGGGGAACTAAATGCAGACAGCGGGGCTGAGGCTTGGCAGGGAAAGGGGAAGGTGATCAGAGAAGTGGGTAAGACGAGCTCTCCCTGGGCGCTGAGGACCACAGTGAGGCTTTGAGGTTTCAAGCAGGGCAGTGACATGATCTGATTTGCATTTTGAAAAGACTGTCATTGCCATGAGGTTATAGATGATTCTGTTAGGATCTGCGGGCCCAAGTCCCTCTCTGTAGCTGAGGAAACCACACAGGCTCTTGGTAACTACTTTTTGTCCCAAAGGGAGCCCAGGGTTGGGAGCTAAGGCGGACTGTTTTCCCTGTCTTGGTTCTAAGCTCAGTCGCGGCATGGAGGAACATCCCTTTGCTCCTCGGAGCCTCTCCAGGACAATCACAGAGCTTCTCTCACTAGACCAGAAACTCCCTGAGGGCAAGACAGGAACCTATGCACTGTGGTGCCAACACCTGGCACATGGCTCTGCACAGAGCAGATGCCTGGTAAATGCTGGGTGAGGGAATGCTTGACTGCATTGGTCTCTAAGAGTAGCATCTTAGGTTAGGGGTCTGGTGCCACAGCTATCCTAGATATGGAACAGAAAGGCCTGGAGCGGATATCTGCAACTGGTAAAGGCTCAGGCTAAGAGCAACGCACCAATGCCTACCGGACCTTCTCTCAGGCACAACACCTCACACTGCCAGAGCTTTTGCTTTGGGGCTTCAGATATTTTTCATAGAACTAATTTGAGTACCTTGAGCATTAATTTAATTAGCTTCTATATTCTCATATTATTCTTACAGAATTTTTTGGGTAACTAATAAACCTTATTTTTTCAGAGCAGTTTTAGGTGTGTAGAGGATAGTATAGAGAGCTGCCATATACTCCTTGTCCCATGCTTACAAACCCTCCCCCAATGACATCCTGCAGCAGAGCGCGACATTTGTCACAACTGATGAAACCTACGCTGCCATCGTTATTATCCAAAGTCCATAGTTTATGTCAGGGTCCTCCTGACCCTGGGTAGTGCACAATCTATAGGTCTGGACAAAAGTATACTGATGTGTCTCTACCAGCCATGATTCTTTTTACTAATGAATCCAGTTCTTGGCTTCTTTCCCACTTCTAGGTCAGTTCACTTGCTGGAGCCACCGTGACAAGACATGAGGAGTACCTTAGTCCCGGGATGTGGTGCCTGGAGTCCTTACCTTTCTTTTCTCCAGTGAAGGGCACAAAGTCTTCCCTGTCCTTCTGTTCCAAAGCCTCCTTCTCCAGGTACATGAGGAGGTGCTCACGGTCAAACGGGCCGGTGGCTGCTTTCTGGGTCTGGTCTTTCTGTCGGAATCCAGCTGGTAGCAGTGCGCTCTAACGAAACAGAGATGTGAGCAGGAAGGACGGTGTTCGCCCTACTGACACTCTGGGACTTGGCCCCCACCCCTGGCCCTGCTGTCTATGGGGGAGGCAGGGAGAAGGACACCTGTGCAGAGATGCAGGTGTGCACTGAGGGCTGGGGACTCTGGCACGTGCCCGAGGCCCTACCTGCTCTAACCTCCTGTGCTGAGAGGGAGCCCCTGCCATGCACACAGGCAGAATACAGCCGGCCAGAGCCATCTCTGGGTCTTCAGAGCTGCATTCTAGAATGTGGTAGCAAAAGGCCAGGTACCCTCCATGGCCTCCTTCCTCGTAGATCACACTTGGGTTTGGCCAGATCTCTATCCAGGGTTCTCCCAAGCAGGCATACAGACACTAACAAGGAGCCAACATGGCTATACTCTCTTATTTCTAGCCTCTTTCCTGGGAAATCACCCAGCACATAAGCAAGTATTAGGGTAGATGCTGACACCTGCTTGACTGAGCTGGACGATTCCTTCCTTAATGTTCAAACATAAAAACTTTTTTTTAAGACTGTGTTTTGGGTTATTTATTTATTTTTAATCTATTTTTTAAATTTAAAAATTATGTATACATATTCTTTGGTTCAAGGGTACAGGTCTGTGATTTGTCAGTCTTATATAATACTCGGTGCTCATTACAACACATACACTCCCCAATGTCTATCAAAGATAAAAACATTTTTTTTTTTAAAGATTTTATTTATTTATTTTTCAGAGAGAGAGAGGGAGAGAGCGATCACAGGCAGACAGAATGGCAAGCAGAGGCAGAGGGAGAAGCAGGTTCCCTGACGAGCAAGGAGCCCGATATGGGACTCGATCCCAGGACGCTGGGATCATGACCTGAGCCGAAGGCAGCTGCTTAACCAACTGAGTCACCCAGGTGTCCCAAAGATAAAAACATTTTTAAAAGTAAATAAAATACCCAAAATGTCTGGCATATCAGCACATTGTATATATAATTTTTAGTGATATTTTTCTTTATAGTAAAATCACTACTTTGGATGCCTCTGATTCTAATTTTAAGAAAATACCATCAGGACTGAAGAAAGTGCTTGCGAAACAAACACTCTAACAAGCTACTTTGTTTTTCAAGAGCTCATAAAAATATTAGAATCTCCACTTAAATTCACATGATATTGTTGTTATAATTCAAACATCTCCATTGTTGTGAGATCACCAAAGATTTCTAGTTATTTATGCATTTAAAAAAAATGAAGTATAAAAAAGATCTACTTAGGGGGTTAAAGACCTGGTTTAAATAGCATCTCTGACGTTTACTAGTATGAGCTCTTCTGTAAATTACTTCTTCACATCTGTTCCCCTCATTTATGAAATGGGAGTAATATGATTTACCCCTAGGGATTCTGTGCCCAGTAGGGTATAAGACCTCAAAGAATAAATTTGGTAAGATTTGTCCTCTTTTCCTCTTTCCTTTCTTCTTCCCTAAGTCAAAGTAGTCCTTTCTCAAGCAATGGAAAATATGTTTTACCATTTACATTAAATTGGTTTTTGAGAAATTTGCCATATCATATTGTAGACATGGCTACTGAGTTTCTTTATGAATCTGTCAGAGTAAGTGATCAAGAACCAATCAGGGAAAGAACACGGAATTTGTATTTGGAGCTAAGGGATTTCTGCACTATTGTTTAAGGACCAAGCCACACCATTTATCCCCTACTACCACTGACCACGATGTTTCCGTTGCAGCTCACGAACCTTGGGATCCAGGTCATCAAGAACATTTTCCAACTGTTTCAGTTCCTCTTCTGAGAGTTTGCCAAGAAGCTCATCTTCATCAATGTTCTTGTATTTCTCCAGCTCTTTTTGAAAAGGGAGTGCCATGGCTTCTTATAAGTCCTTCTCATGGGTCGCGGACATTTAAACAGGCCAGCCTCCTGAGACTTCAGAATACTACCAATCAGAAAGAAACACCATGATCGTACTCTGCAAACAGGACTTAGTCACAGGAGACAAAGCCTGTGCTATCTGCCAATGGAGTCTTTATTGGACAAAGGATTCCACAAAACGGTCACACCACCTCCATTTGCAGAGCGACCTGACAGCTTAGAATGGGTTTCCATGTGTACTCTTTCACTTACTTAGATCTTTACAAACACCCCAGAAAGGAAGTCTGGACAGATACTACTATCCCATCTGACAGGCAAAGATTCTGAGGCAAAGGTGGCTAAGTGCCTTGCTCGAGGCTCCAGAGCTGCCATGTGCCAGACCTCCTGGTTCCCAGCGTGCAGAGTGCCTTTCTGCCACACTACTCTGCCTCCTCCGCTTTCCATAGAAAACAGAGAAAAACAATGAGCTAATTGTAAGGCCTTTGTAAGAAGCATACTTGTGTCTTTTCAGGGAGAGAGTGATGTGAAGAATATAAAATGGGGCTCATTCAGGAAAGAGAGTTTGGAACGTCCATGTGAGAAAGCATTGTCCAGTAACTCCCTGCAATTAATCTCAGTAAGATCCTAACATCCTGACTGCATAGTCTCTCCACACTTCTCTCTTTTTGTTCTTCCCCCGTCTCCTGTTCTCTTTCTAGTCCTGTGTTTTTTTGTGTCCTTAATCACGCTGCCTAGTTCGTTAAACCTCTAGTCTGCTCTCCTTTCAACCCCTTCTTTTATCCTACCTCACTGCTAAACTTCCATTCAGAATGTAATTCTTACTCAATCCCATCTTTCTTGCAAAGGATTTTCCATCTCTCCTCTAGAAGGATAATATTGCATTTAGGAAATAGCAAGGCACTTAGCTGATTGTGTTTCTCCCTAGGCAATATTAAACTCAATCAGATCTTTCAAGACAATTAGTATTTGCTGTGCACCTACTGTTTGCCAGGCACACACCTAGAAAGCAGGAACCTAAAGATGAACAAGACGCAACCCCTTCTTCAAGAAGATCACAGCTCAGTGAGACACACAAATAGAGATAATGCCATTTGATAAGTGCTACAATAGAAGTAAAGCATAAAATAGGTCTAAAAACACACGAAGTAATCATTGGGTAAAGTGGGGGAGGGGGGTTAAGGGGAAACTGTGAAAAAGAGGTTGCCTTTGAGCCTTGAAGGAAGAGACCATAGTGGGGATGTGGGTGGGGAAGGGTTATTCCAGGAAAAAAGGAACAGCATAAACAAAGGCACAAAGATAAGAAAGGTGGATGGTGGTGTGTTGGTGAATGGTTGGTGTGCTACAGGGAGAGGAAAGAACTAAAGTCAAGAAAGGGACATTTGTGAAGGGCCTTCCTTGTAATCCCTGCCAAGGAACCTGGGCTCTGTCCTGTTGGAAATGGGAGCCACTATAGATGTTTAAAACAGAGGAATCATCTGAGAAGCCAGTTTTTTACATAAAGTAATTCAAAAGGTAAGAATAAAGAATGGGTTGGCATAGGAAGAGACCATTTGAAGGTGAGCCACTGAACAGTTATTAGAATGTTGCTTCCTTCTCTAATTCAGCTGCTCACCACATTCAAGTTTGTGGTTTTCTGTTTAGATACCTTTTCTATGTACAACGTAACTGTCTTTTCCACTAGCCAACCTTCTTTTAATCTTCCATTGCTATAGTACAGGAAAATGAACAAATAAACAGAACCCTCCCCCAAAAACCATCCCACTAAAGTCAGAGACCAATTAGATCATGGGTACTCTGTTTTGGTCCCAGTTACCACTAATTTATCATGTGACACTGGGCACAGACCTAAATCTGCCAGGCCCTTAACCATCAAATGAACTGGCTGAACCATCCTTCTTAATGGACTTGACGTTACACAGTTTCCCACATTTAACATTCTGAAATTCAGATGTGTTTTACAATTGATGATCCTACAATTACTGTGGGCCCAACAGCAGTCAAGATGTCCCTGACATTGCTTATAAATGCGTAATAGCAAAAGCACCAGCTTCAAAACTAGAAGAATGGGTGTCAGGGATTCGGAAAACAAAACAAAACAAAAAAGTCCCAGGGACTTGTAAAAATAGTGGACCACTCTTTTGAAACCTAAAGGGGAGGGAGTGAGACAGGTGGCAACTCCCTCCCCTTTAGGTGAAAATAGTGGACCACTCTTTTGAAACCTAAAGGGGAGGGAGTGAGACAGGTGGCAACTCCCTCCCCTTTAAGCTAGTGCCACATAATTACAGAGTGGGCTTAAAAGCCCAGCATTAATGGCTTTTAGCTCTTTCACAGGTTTTTTAAAAAAAATGACCACTCTTGATGATGCAGCAGCGATACTGGATGGAAAAAAAGGACATTCGGTATTGTGAATCAAAAAGTGATACAAAAAGTTACACTCTAAACGTGAAGAACTTTTAAGAATATTAACCAATTCATTTCAATTGTATCTTCCTTTTCTATGCCTGGTGTGATCTATAATTAAAAAAATCTATTCATAGAAGCTTTATTTCAAATAGCCAAAAACTATAAGTAAACTGAATGATCATTGGTGGGTGAATGGATTAAAAAATCATGGTATATCCACATAACGGAAACTACTGGGAAGTAAAAAGGAATAAACTACTGAAACACGCATCGACATGGATGAACATCAAAATAATTACACTAATGAAAGAAGCCAGACCCAAAAGAATGCATCGGGTATGACTCCATGTATCTAAAATGCTAGAGACTGTAATTTATATGACAGAAAACAAAGTCGTAGTTGCTTGGGGATGGAAGAGAGAGAGGTAGGGAGGGGGAAAGGGAGGGATCATGAAGGGACATAAAGAAAATTTTGAGTTTTAGGGGTGCCTGGGTGGCTCAGTAGGTTAGGCTGCTGCCTTCGGCTCGGGTCATGATCTCAGGGTCCTGGGATCGAGCCCCGCATCGGGCTCCCTGCTCAGCAGTAAGCCTGCTATCCCTTCCTCTCTCTCTGCCTGCCTCTCTGCCTACTTGTGATCTCTCTCTGTCAAATAAGTAAATAAAATCTTAAAAAAAAAAAAAAGAAAATTTTGAGTTTTACATATGTTTATTCACTACCTTGATTGTGGTGGTTTCACAGGTGCGTGCATACCTTTATACTTAGCAAACTCTACACTTTACATATATGCAATTTGTTGTATTTAAGTTAAAAGATTTCAAAAAAGTCTCTGTAAGTCTAAAACTGTTCTTTCAATAAAGTGAAAATTATATATATATATATATATATTTTTTTTTTTTTTAAGATTTATTTATTTACTTATTTACATGGCACAGAGAGAGACAGCAAAAGAGGGAACACAAACAGGGAGAGTGGGAGAGGGAGAAGCAGGCTTCCCGCCAAGCAGCGAGCCTCACCTGGGGCTTGATTCCAGGACCCTGGGATCATGACCTGAGCCAAAGGCAGACGCTTAACGACTGAGCCGCTAAGTGCCCCGAAAATTATGTTTTTAAGGAAGCATGTATCATATTTTATCTGGCAGCATTTTTTCCTTAGTGGTACATAAAATATTGGTGTGTTTTAAATTGGTGATATCTTAGGCCTGGTAAAATTCTATTTGTACTTCTAGTCCAGGATTCTAAAGCTATCCTCCTAACTTCACATTTTTCTATGAAACTGACTTGCTCTCCTGATTTTCTAGATCCTATCATTAATCTACCAGTCACTCACTTTAAAAACTTGGACCACCCTTCGATTCTCCCCCCTCTTTCCATGGCCACCTGGTTAGCATTTCCTGCAGATTCTGACTGCACAGAACCTTTCACACCACCCCTCTTCCTGTCACTCTTGTTTTGCACCTCTGTCCTTTGGGTCTGGAGTACTCTAACAGCATTTTGAATGGCTTCTGTTCTTCCTTCTGAGCCACCAGAACACCACAATCAGGTCATCTCTCTTTACACTGCTAAAAAGCCACTTCTCTGAGTAAGGACTTACAATGGCTCCCTCTTGTCTACGGAATGAAATTCAGACAGTCTAACATCCAAAACTCCCACAATTTGGCTTCAGTTTGCACTTTCTGCTTTCGGTCTTCATTACTTTCCCAGGGAGTTACTCTACTCCAGCCAGAAGGCTTATTGGCTCCCTGTGACAGGCAGGATAATGACCCCCCTACCTATGTCCAAGCTGGGATCCTCTGGGACCTGGGGATACACTACTTTACACGGCAAAAGGGACCGGGTGGGTTAAATAAAGGATCTTAAAATAGGGAGATTATCCTGGATTATCTGGGTGGGTCCAACAGAATCACAAGGGCTCTTAAAAGATGGAAGAGGCAGGCAGGAGAGCCAGAGGAGGTGTGATGACAGGAGCAGAGGGTCTAGTGATATGATTCCTGGCTCTGAAGACGACAGAGGAAGGGGCTGAGAGCCAGGAAATGCGGCTGGCCTCTAGAAGCTGGGGAAAAAAAGGGAAATGGATTCTCTTCCAGAGCTTTCAGAAAGGATCACAGACCTGCTGACACCTTGACATTAGGCCAATGACACCAGTCTTGGATTTCTGACCTCCAAAACTGCAATGTAACAAATCCTCGTTGCCTGAAGCCACTGAATTTGTGACAGCAGCAACAGAAAACGAAGACACTCTCTTTCCCATATATTTCCATTTTTCAAGATAATTGTTCCGGCTATCTTCTGTTTGCTCCTCTACATCCACTTTCTGCCTTGCTCCGTGCCCCAGGAACATAACATATTTAAACTGCGCCCACGGGCTCTATTGCTCTCCGGCGCATGTTTGGCCAACAGCAGGCCCTGGTGAGAAGCCAGAGGGCAGGGAGAAAGGGAGGAAGCTGGTCCAGAAGGCCACAGCTCCTCCAGGCAGCTCCTCATTCTCAGCTGCTCTCCCCTTCAGCGGACTCTAGGCCTGGGGTGGTGAAGGGTCTCTGTTGTGGCCCGTGCCTGAGTTCTGCCATCCTGCATTCCCGAAACTCACCCCACATCTTTGTGAATAGCCTCTTTATTAAAACTTCTTCAAATTATTCAGTTTGAGTGTGTCCTCTGTTTCTTGTT